AATTAAGCTGAGAGAAACCAACAGGAAATGCAATCCCGGTGCTATAACCAAAACAGATAAAATCTCAGCACGGAAGCTGGAACCCATGCCACTGGAAGCCGCAGTTTGAATTTCCTGGTGCCGCTGCTGTGTCAAAATCAGCACGGCAAGGAGAGAGACACACGAAAGCTCTGAGAGCGGGAACCGAGGAATGGAGTTGAGAGCAGGACTGGCGGGGAGACCTGCATCAAACTGCGGTGAGTAAGAGGAACAGGGACCCTTCCATAGAGTGGGAGGCTCCAGCAAAGGGCATTCTGGGACTGGGCATACCAGCCAGAACAGGACACTGCAGTGACTTTGGTCACATATTCCCCTCTCCAGTGGGATTGGTGCAGAGCACTTGGCCTGGGTGATGCCACTGACTAAGACCCAATGGGTTAGCCCAAACCAGGTCCCAGCACCTGGTGGTGCACCCTTCAGGAGGTTGATCATGAGGTGTGGGCCCAGCAGAGGCTGCCCAGGTCTGTGTCTCCCTAGTGCACTGCAGTGGGTGGGAACACCTAGTCAACAGAGTCAAACAAACTGTAACCAACAAAAAAAGAAACTGGGCCTCCTATATACGCTTGTATGGAAGGAACAAAAAGTATGGGAAGAGGGAGCAACAGAAAGGGTCCTCAATCCCCAATCCTAAGAACACTGATCCAGGAAAGGTAAATGCAAAAAAGAATGAGGACAGAAAACATGCAATATCAGACATGGCACCAATAGACATAAAGCAATATCTCCGGAGCCTCATAGACAAGGTATTTAACCAAGTAAAGCAAGATATAAATAGAATAGTTAGAGAAATGCTAAGCACCACACAAGAAAAAAACAGATGGTGGAATGGAAGAACAGAAAAAAAGGGGAGAATTGTTTGATGGAGAAAATAGAGAAAACATAGAATACATGAAGCAGTTTCATAGAGATTATCAGGAAACTAAAAACTCTATTGACGGCTGGCATAACAGCTTGAAAGAAACTAAGGATAGAGTATCTGAACTTGAGGACAGATTTGTAATGTGGGAGCATGAAATGAAAAACTTCTTAAGAATAACAAGAAAACAAACAGCAATAATACAAAGGCTAGAAGATGATAAGAGGATCTATAACTTAAGAATTAAGAACATAAAAGAAGTAAGGACACAAACAAATGGACTACAAAAGCTATTCACAGAAATAATACAGGAGAATTTCCCTAATTTAGCAAAAGGTAAAAATATTCAGTTGTATGAGGCCTACAGGACCCCAGTCACCTACAATCCAAACAGAGCTACACCCAGGCATATAATAATCAAAATTCCAGAAATCCAATATAAGAACAGAATACTAAAAGCTGTCAGAGACAAGAAACAGATAACTTACAAGGGAACACCCATCAGAATTACAGCAGACCTCTCAGCACAAACCATCAAATCATGAAGAGCGTGGGGGGAAATAATTCAAGCTTTGAAAGATAATAACCTCCAGCCAAGATTCATATATCCTGTACAACTGTCCCTAGAAATTGATGGAAAAAAAAGGTGCTTCCAGGATAAAGAGGAACTAGGGAAATTTGAAAACACCAATTCAACTCTACAGAGAATACTGCAGGATATTCTAAAAAAGGAAATTACCAAGATTCTAGAAACAGTGGCAGAGAGGCCACAATGAACGGTGCAGAAAACAAAATGAAGAAGACAAACTGAGAACTAACAACAGAAAAAGAGCTCAACACAAATGAGGCAGAGAAGGTTGGATGGTAGGAACACCTATTTTGGAGAAAACAAGACATCATAATAGCTAGTGCTAATTTAGTATCATCTTGTTTTAAAGTCCCATCAAGCTTTTATTCTTCTGGCTCCATTGGTCTTAACAGGTTGTTTCTTATTGGATTTTATTATATGTGATAATTTAAACAAAAGTTTTATAGACAAGGAGGCTATACAGAAACCATTGTTCATTTTCTGATAGTTGGTTGTAAATACCTTGTAATACTGTCATTCTCTTGAATGGTTTTACATTGTCTTGATATGTTTGGTGCTACAGTATACAAAGTTATACTCAAAGATTTCAAGGAAAGAGACACTACGGTAACTACTTTTATGTCAGGATATCTTGTGGTGAAACACTATTTTGCTTAAACAGTTATGTTTTGACCTGTGCTGTTTTGTTGTTATGCCCTCTTTTATCTTAATCTCCTTATTTAATTATTTACTTTTTTTATTTTTATCTTTTAATTAAGGGAAAAATAAATAAAAAAATAGCAGGATAAACTATAGTAACCCACTTTGATTTCCTATTCACTTGATTTGAAAACCCATATTGCCCTCACCATCTGGTTTTGACTGATTTTCCCCTATTCTGTTTTGCTTGATAGTACCAAGTTTGAAAGTATAGGCAACAACTGTGAAGACAAGATTTATTATGACGCCCATTCTGGTTGACTATTATCTTCTTTTAAAGTCCTGTAATGTCTCCAATGTTTTGGTTTTATTCTTTACTGTTTTGTTCAATTTTATTATAACTGATGATATAGGCAATTCTTTTTAAGATAGCAAGAAGCAGTATGGTGACCATTTTTTATCACTTCGTATTTTGTTTTTACATTAGGTATAATGTCCATCCTTTTGATTTGACTGACTCTGTTCTGTTATGTCACATTTGGTTTTACTCTCTTCAAAAAAAAGTAATAAGAACTGTGGGACTAATAAAACCCAAAATGTGTAATTGTCACTGTACAAAAGAAAGGAAAAGAAAGTGCTTTAAAGGATATACCTGCATGTATATTTAAGTGTATAAGATAGATAACCATGTTACTAAGTTTTGTTGGATCACTGAACAGAACTGTATGCAGTCTCACTGTTTGAAAGTCCACTTTATAAGCTTTAATTTTGTAATTCGAACAACTATTTCTAAGATAACAATATGTAATCTATTAACTAGTGATTTCCTACTGTTTATTTTTTCTGAAATTCTGTATAACTTGTGCCCATTTTCTGTTTTTTTTTTCCTTTTTCTCCTTAAATAAAACTTAAAAAAAATAGATATGGCAAAGTCAAGATAATGTCCTTATCAGAGCTCTTTAGGTTTCTATTAGTGTAGGTTTCAGGTGATACTACTTGGACAATGTTCAAAGTGACAGTGTTACTGAACTTACTCTTATCACTTCTTTCTTTTTTTCTTTATTTCTTTCCTTCCTTCCGTCTTTCTTTCTTTTTTCCTCCTTCCTTCTTAAAAGCCCTGTAAAATATGCCCAGTTTTCTTTTAGACTACATTTGTAGTGATTTTCATATGTACATGGTCATGTTCTGCTGATGTCTGGTGGTTTCAGCCTCCAGAAGCCAGAGTGTGCTGATCCAATCTCCAGCTGGGCTGTCTATGATGCAAGGGAAGACAGCCACTATCACCTGCTGGGCCAGTCAGAACATTGCCTCCGATCTACATTGGTATCAGCAGAAAATAAATTAGGCTCCAAAGCTCGTATTCAATGGGCCTTTCAGTCCATCTCAGGGATCCATTTGAGATTCATTGGCAACAGATCTGGCACAGGTTTCTCTCTCAGCCTGTAACCTGATGATGTCACAAGTTATTACTATCACCAGGGATAGAGTATTCTTCACACTACACCACAAACCAGAACAAAAACTTTTTCAGCCTGAATGAGCAATCTTCTGATCTTAGCAGGTGCAGATGGGTCATGGACCTCACAAACACCCTGAGATTTGGTCAGCACAGCAGAGCTGAAATTTGTTTTTTTTTTTTTTTTTTTTTTCAGGTCATACAACTTGGGTTTATTCACATTAGGGATGAATAACTTAAAAAGACAGAAATGGGTCTTGTAATACAAGAATTGATAGACTAATACAATGGTATAATCAGTGAAGCCTGGCTGGGGTTCCAATGACCACCAACCCATAGACAACACAAGCGGCGAATTTGGGGGCATCACAGGATTGATGTCAAGCACCCATCCACTCCTTCCCATGGCCATTGAGACTCTTCCCACAGAAAGGCGGATTAAGTAATAGTAACTGGGAACTGTGTTAGTCTGAAGCTTCATCTAAAACCATATCTGAATGGAGCAGGTAGGGACGGCTCACAGCTCAGGTTTGCTACTCACTCAAGAACCTGCCAGGTGACATGTGCTTAGTGTGAGAAGCACCGTGAGCAATACCTCTGAGATGCCTGTCTTGTTAAGGTATTTCTCTTATTAATATTGGGTGACAAAACTTTCCAAAATATGAACTACTGGAGTACCTAAAAGGATAAATATTGTAAAAAAGTCTTAAAGAAACTAAATGGAGAACGTATAAATAGATCAAATCTCTGACATAATCGGAATAAGCACCACTTTCAGGAGAGCTGGTCTCAGGAGCAATCACATCCTATCTCCACTGGGTACTACGTACATGGAGATTTGCCCAAAATTGACTTCAAAAGTAGGGTATTTCAAATTCATTAAAAAGCTTCCAAATTACATGCCCAGGAACACAAGGTTACTTTCTTTTAGTCACTTGAGCTACCATTCGTGGGAAATGCAACACTTTTCTTTCGCTTGGTGTTGAAATCAAATGTCAGGCTCTCCCCGTGACAGTACGCTTCGCATCTGTGTGTAAAGTGCCAGTTTATTTACCGCTAGTTTGATGCACTTTAGCCTGCTAGGAAGCAGTGAGGCCGACATCTGTAACTGCCCCAGGGCCGGGCCGAGTCCTGTGGTCCCCAAGCTGTAGTGCTACAGTGCTGTCGCGGCTGCCAGCTGCTCACAAAGTGAGACTTGATCTTGCAAAGAGCCCAGGTGGCTGGGCTTCCATGTCCCTCCCCTGGGTGACACACTGCACATTGCTAACAAACAGGATTGATTCTGAGGTAGCTACACAGCTTTTACCAGTGCTGCTAACACTGCTGACCATGCATGGTGTAGCTGGGCCATTTACCTTAGCTGATTTTTTTTTTAATGATGAAAGGGGGGGAAAAATCAGCAAAGTAAGCATGCTTCTCTAGTTCTAAAAGTCAGCATCCAATGTGAAAGAATTCTCCGTGGGGCTGGACATAACTCCCATCCTCTGATACTCGCCTACCCTCTTCTCAAAGAAGTTTGTCTTCCCTTCTAGAGAAATATTCTCCATGAAGTCAAATGGATTTTCCACTTGAAAAACCTTGCCAAAGCCCAGCTCTAGCATGAGCCTGTCAGCAACGAACTCGATGTACTGCTTCATGAGCTCGCAGTTCATGCCAATCAGCTTCACTGGCAAGGCCTCCGTGAGGAACTCCTGCTCGATTCTGACGGCGTTGACGATAATCTCCTTCACCCTCTGCTCTGAGGGTCTATGCATCAGGTGCTTGAACATCAGGCAGGCGAAGTCACAGTGCAGGCCCTCATCTCTGCTGATGAGTTCATTGGAAAAGGTGAGGCCGGGCATGAGTCCCCGTTTCTTCAGCCAGAAGATCGACGCAAAAGAACCAGAAAAAAAGATGCCTTCCACGGCAGCAAAGGCTACCACGCGTTCCCCATAAGTGGCCTCTTTGTCCCCAATCCAGCGCAAGGCCCAGTCCGACTTCTTCACACAGGGCATGGTCTCGATGGCATTGAAGAGGAACTCCCTTTCTCTGGAATCTTTGATATAAGTATCGATGAGGAGACTGTACATTTCAGAATGAATGTTTTCCATGGCGATCTGGAAGCCGTAGAAACAGCGAGCCTCTGTGATTTGAACTTCTTGGCTGAACCGCTCCACCAAATTCTCATTGACTATGCCATCGCTGGCGGCAAAGAAAGCCAGAACGTGTGATATAAAGTATCTCTCCTCGGGCTTCAGGGCTTCCCAGTGCTGAATGTCTTTGGAAAGATCCACCTCCTCTGCCGTCCAAAAGGAGGCCTCGGCTTTCTTATACATCTGCCAAATGTCATGGTATTCGATAGGGAAGATGACAAAGCGCCGGGGGTTCTCTCTCAGCAGTGGTTCCTCCTCCACGCTGGGCGCAAATCCCTTACTCTTCGGCTCGGTGGGCTCCTGGAAGATCAGCCGCGCGGTCTTACTGGCCAGCACGCGAGTCCCGCTGAGGGACGGAGGCGTGTTCTCCTTGTCAGCCAGGCTGAGTCCCTTCAGCGGCGACAGCTGCAGCTGCTGCTGGTCTGCAAGCGTGGCGAGCAGGGCACGGACGGAGAGCATGATGCTTGGTGGCTGCAGCAGGGGACACGAGGATGAGCGGGAATCTGAGTTTGAGTCTCAGAGCTGAAATTTGTAGAGCCATTGCTTCACATATTAGTTGCAACATCAATTATAGGAATTTTTCTAAATAAATAAATAGTTGTTGAAAGTAGTTCTCTTTGTATCCATCTAAGGATTTCCTACTTTGTCCTTTACAAATTGGTGAAATTTTGCAGTTTTCCTTGTGAGCTTGAATTAGTCAGTAAGGCACAAGAGTTTCAAATGGGGAATATTATCAAATTACCAAAAATTTCCTGGAGTTGGGGAAACAGAAAAGACCCCTGGACAAGAAGCCCTGAGCCTTGAATCATTTCCTAGCACTGCAACCAGCAGGGTATTCTGGGTCCCCCACTCTTTCCCAAAACTACCTTTTTGTCTTTTCATGTAGTCACATTCCTGGACCTTAACTGCCTTGTGTTCATTATCTTTTCAGATTTGCAAGAGAATTATTAGTTGTTTGTCCTTAATAGTTGCATGATTTATTAAGAATACAAATCATGTGAATTTCTATAGACCCTTGTCTGGTAATGGGCAGAATAAGATCAGGTTCCTGAGGAGAGATTCAGTAAAGAACTTAGGGCCCCAAACAAAAAAGGTTGCTGTTACAAAGTTTCCATTAAATGGCAAACGACCTCCACAATACACAAAGACAGAGTACTCATCCTAGTGATTAAATAAATGAATGCTGGAATGAGTGCTGGAATGTTGAAATGAGAATTTCCCATTAAAGGAGGGAGCTCTGTGCCCAGCTCTCCAAGCTCACATGGCTGGGTCCTCAGGTCACAATGGACCATGTCTCCCCCATCTGCCAGTTCCTCAGGAATTCCTGCTTTACTCTCTGATCTGTATGCATCTGACTGTGATGCCCCTTCCAGGAGGATTCTTAGAGTCTGAACTCAGTAAGCAATGAGACAGGAAGGGTGAGCAAAGCAGGTACACAGCTCTGAATGTGAGTGGCCATAAGTCAAACTGGAGTGAAGAAACCTTGTGAATTCAGAGAGGGAGGCACAGAACTTATAGATGCCATCTCCATTCAAAGGTGCAAAGTGTGTTTGAGAACCAAATCTAAAACAATGTTCTGTGTACTCGTGGGAGAAGAGCTGCATTCTACCCTGTGGTCCAAGAGAGAAACCCATTAAATCTGTGCCACCCAGGCTTAGAAGTGGTCCCAGAAAACCTTGGATGATGATGAGATGACACAGCACTGCAGCTATGTGTCATGCTATCCATCCTCTGCTGATTTGCAATGCACAGACCACAACCCATGCCCTAAATATTTCTTTCCAGGCTGCTCACACCCTGTGCAGGAGTCAGTCCCAGTCACAACACGCCACGGACATGAGGATCCCTGCTCATCTCCTGGGCTCCTCCTGCTCTATCTCCGAGGTGAGCAAGGATTGATATTATGATTTGGTCTATTTAGAGTTTCCTGGTCAGAATTGCCTGGCGCTACAAGGAGGTCCTGTTTTACCATAGTTGTGTTGATACTTGTTTCTAATTTCAGGAGCCAGATGTGACATTCAGATGATTCAGACTGCATCCTCCTTGCCTGCATCTGTGGGAGACACAGTCACCATCAAATGTAAGGCCAGTCAGGGTATAAGCAATATTTTACATTGGTACCAACAGAAACCAGAGAAAGCTCCTCAACTGCTGATTTATGCTACAACCAACTTGGGATATGGGGTCCCATCAAGGTTCAGTGGCAATGGATCTGGGGCAGATTATACTCTTACCATTAGTAGCCTCCAGCTTGAAGATGTTGCTACTTATTACTATCAGCAAGGTTTGTATACTCCTCCCACAGTGATACAATCCATGACAAAAACCAGCCAGAGAAACAAGTGTGAGACTGGGCTGCACCAGCTGCCACCTCAACTGCTGTTTTCAACTGCTGAGAGCAGTTCTCTGAGCCAGCCAAGTTTGGAAGCTCCTTGAGACTTTAGAAGAAGGACCAAGACTCTCCTCCACACTCCCTCTTTCCTTTTCCCCTGCTCCAGAAGCACAGATATGACAGTTCCTGTCCAGATTTAATGAAGACACAAATGAGCACCTCAGCGCTCTGTGGGTTATGGCATCATTTTTTATTCAGACAGCAACAGAGAAGCCCTTCTATGCAATCTGGGAAAGAATTTTTAAAGACTTGCTTCAATTTTAGAATGAATTGAAGGCTATAAAAAATTTAAAATGCAGAAGTGGCCCTTATAACACTGCCCACATGACTTTGCAGTCATTATCGATATCCAAGGATAATTTTGTTGCAAACAATCAAGATTAATAAATGTGCAAAGTCCAAATTTCACATGAAAATTCACTCTTGATGTTGTGCATATCCCCCAACAGAGACAACTACAATAACATGCAGCATTTGGAACAATGTGATTTTGTTTCAGTGCCCTAAAAATCCTCTCAATTCTCCACATTCATTCTCTTAATTTGTGCTTTTCCATTCCCATAGTTTATCCTTTTCCAAAATGACAAAATCTTGCCTTTATAGCACAGAATTTTTTGAAAGATAATCTCAGAACAGGCTGTATTCAGAAACACAATAAGTAAAAGAAATTGAGTAACATCTTTGTACTTACAAAGTTCCATCATTACCTTCTATGATTAACTGGAATAGAAGCTTTCAATGTATTGATTCTATCTCAGAAGTCACCAGATATACATAGGTTTGCATGGAGTAAGAATCTAATACTATTTTTAAAACATGGGAATGAATATACAAATTTTGCCCCTACCTTTAACTGGATTCACAGGTAAAAGTTTAGAACGCTCACTGTATTTGTTTATATTACTTAGAGTCATTCATTATTTCATGGAACCTAACATGGGCTTTTTGTCCTTTGCTCAGGAGAGTGCCCAACAGGCTGTCTTTGGTCTCCAGCACTAAAAGAAAAGAAGTGGATTCATCTCATGCTGAAACATATCTCCTCTCCTTACTCTCACTTCTCCCCATGATATTTTATGACTGTGCAAATTTAACAGGTCTCAAAAACACAGTGTCTCTGCTCAGTGTGAGCAACAGTGGCAATTGCTGGGAAGACAATGAAGGTGGCATAGTTGGGGCAGGGTCCCCAAATGCTCTCTATTTTTCCAATTGAGATGGCTGCAATAGAAGTGATGTCAGCCACTGTAGAGACCCAGTCTTTAAGGTGCACTATTATTTTGCCCAAAAACTCAGAGTTGGCCAAAGAATGCAGCCCGTCTATGTACCCCCTTCCCTGCTTCCTCATCCCAGGGGTACAATGTTCTTATCTGTTCCCTACTTTGCAGTAGTTACTCATTTCTTCTCTATTAACATTTGCCTTTCCAATAGGTATTAATGAAGGTAAATTCTAAAACATATAAAGCACAGAAACATGGTGAGTATATTGTAATTAATTGGTGATAATAAATAACCTAATGAACTCTATCTCTTTGGTTTTCTATCAAATGCTAATTCATGGAAATCTGAAACAAAGAAACAAGTACTTAGAGCAACTAAAACTGTTCATTCCTCAAGAAAATAAGGAACTTATGAGCTCTTGGCAGGTTAATTTGGTTCAGGTGCAGTAATTTACTCTCCTACCTATCAGATGCCCTCCAAGGCCTCTGACTAAAGTCCTTGAAAATAGCAGTTCACACCGCATCCTATGTCAGACTAATCAAAGCAACTTTATTCATAACAGCCTGAAGTGGAATCTACCTAAGTCGTCATCAGCACATGGAGACATAAATGATGGTGTTACCATGGTAAAACAGTGCTCAGAAATAAAGGTCACGGTATTTGTACATGAAGCAAAATGAATAGTTCAGAAGCAATGTTTATTGTCAGTTGTTTTTGTATGCTGCCTTCATTGGTCTGATGATTTACCTTTTTCATTGTTGTGTTGTGCTTTGAATGTTTTATTCTTCCCTTATTTTTAATATTTCATGACATTGCCCTGGATTCAATTTCTTCTGAGGTAGGAAGACAAATGCTGCCTGGTAGGTTTTTATTCTTGAGATTCTCCTGAGTCTTTAACTACTATGCTGTGGGAGTTTTGGGGATGTAGCACCTTCTTCATAAAACTGAGATCCCTGTCCAACCACATTCTCCCACCCTCTGCACCAAGCACCGCCCACTGGGTGCTCTTTCCTTCCTTTCAGTACAATCACTGTGTTTGTACATTTTAGGTACCGCTGATATCTACTTAATCTTCTCACCTACTTGTTAACTTTATAAACTTGTATTTAATTGCTCAGGGAAATATTTTCCACCTGAAATCAGTGTATTTACTGGAGTGAAATGAACCGTCATTTTTCCATCAAAAAATATGCTTACTAGCATTTGATATTTTTTCATTGAAAGTTAAAGTTTCCAGAGTCAAGTTAATGCCATTGTGTGATTTCCATGAAGAGGTAGTAACTTTTTCGTGGCCAGATCTACTTTTGCAGTACTAATTTAAGAACCAAAGCAGGATACAATATTGGTGTAAATGAAATTTAATACAGCAGAGTCTCAAACTGTTAAGCAGCAAAGACTTCAACCACTGGATGCAATATCTGGAGATTTTTGCTATGGTGACCAGAAAAGGTGTCTTTCATTACTCAGCTTGTGCCCTGAATGCTGTGATGATGTGAGTAAAGTTGACTTATAAGGACCAAAGAAAAAAGAATGAGGCCTGAAAACATTAGAAGATCTCACTAAATCCATTAAGAGTTTACTGAAAATAATATGCTTTGCCTCATAGGCCATAAAAAATTGAACCAGCAACACAAGAATCAGATCCTTGGGTGATTTTATCCATTTCAAAGGGGAAACTATCATGATAAATTTTAGCACACATGAGGTCCTAGCTCTCTTGCAGCTCAGATTTGCTCTCTCTTTAGAACCTGGAGGCCTTGCTGCTGCTCTGCTTGTTCTCCAAAGGCCCTGTCTGTCACAAGCTCTCGGAAAAATGTGATCACTGTCTCTGGGCAAGGATCAACCTGAATCAGGCGCGGCAGTGAGCTGCAGACATGGAGCTGTGGCC